AAATAATATTCTAATTTTGCTATATTATAAATTATTACTGACACTCCATGTTGTTCAAATTAATAAAACAGAAACCGTAAAATCGGCCTTTCCTATTTTCCTCCACGAATAATAAAATTCCTCTCATCGTGAATCACATGCTGTATAACTGCAGTTTTAATTGCGGAAATTCTTTTCAGAGATATTTCGAAGCAGTTTTCTCTCGCGTTGGATTTAACGTGTTATGCAATGTAGCATTGCAAAATTATTGTATTGTAAACATTGTTGCACGAAATAGTTCCCTTCTATGCGAAAATATATCGAATCTTCCGCCAGCCGTGAAATTCATGTTAGAATGTTATGGAAATATCATGTGGAAATATTATGCTCGCTCACTACTATATTATTGCTGTATAATACAATTATTATTTGACAGATGTTGAAATTAACATAAACTCGCATTGGATAATGTGAATATTTAGGATGAATATTTATCAGATATGCAAACAGAACATATTATATTATATTATGTTACAATAAATGTAGTGAATTAATGAATAATTTTATAGAATAAATGCACTAATTAATACTTTTATGCGAAAATATTTTAAATTTCTTTATATTTTCTATTTTTATTTCCTACCTCCTTTAGAGATAAAAATGAAGAGAAACGGAGAATCAATTAAACTTCACGTAACTATAATTAATATAGTTAAACTTCAACTTTAAACCATATCGCAATATAGAGCTTCGTGCAATATTGTTCTCGTGGATTCGAATTCTGTAGAAAAGCTTGCAAGTTATTGTTGCAACTGCATATTATCATCGCGGTATAATGCTATTATCGTACAGTGAGATTATAGCGTTACGATAAGATAAAGCGGTAGAGTTTACACATGGATTTATTCATCAATTTTCTTCGATTATCAGTCAGTAATGCCTATAAATGCGAGATCACACGCTTCATAAAAACAACTACCATCGTAATAAAATATCAATAGCAGTTATATTTAGCCCGCTACAGTTTCCGATAAATTCAAGTAATAATCCACGACGATCTGCATAATCCTGACGTTGTTTTCATCCAATTGCATAAGCTTCTTTAACTACAAAACTTACTCCGTGTATATACATATAAAGTATCACACAGAATATCGTGATCCATTCGTGAATTAAATTATTTTTGTTTTATATTACTTCAAAGAGCAGATATTTTTAAACTTTCTTTTCAATAAAAAAAAGCTAGTTTAAATTTTATAGAAATTAAGAAATACGTGTTTATTTTTAGATTGTCAATTATTGTCATAATGTAAAATTTATTTATGATTTTATTTAGGAACCTTTTTAATTTATCATTGTTAAATAAAACTGAATAGATTAGCTAGACCCGACAAGTTAGTCCCATTTCTCCTTTGTAATTGCGTTTTATTACCTTTATTAGACTTTTGTATTTAAAGCAGATATACTTTCAAAGAGACGCGGAAAACAGAAGAGTAGCGAAATACGGAAAATGTAACTAAATAGGCCTAACGTTATCTCGCACGCGTACTGTCGCGTTCCGGGTCTGAAGCTTCAGGGAATCGACATTCCCGTATTCCGGAGAGCGTCTCGACTACGGCACATGACCTCAATACAGGTCATGTGACGTAATTAGAGATACAGAAACAATGCGCGCCTTTGCCGTCGTCATTCTATTAATGTCACTTAATCTCCGATCCCAATAATTACTCGCGGACCGAATATTGTATTGCCTTATAAGCGTCGCTATATGAATGCCCTGCCGGTATGTATTCAACGTGCGGTTCCGTGCAGTTTCGTTTCAATATCATCATATATCCTCATGTTTTAGTCATATATGGCATAATTAATTTATCAGTTTATTTCAATTAATAGAGAGCATAATAATACTACGCATGTTTCAATCGTGAATTTTTTGAATTTTGATAGTGTTTAATTAAATTCCTGACTTTAGGAAGAAAATCAATTCGCTAGCAAAAATTCTAAAGATACTAGAGAACTGTTCTTTGTTGCAAGAATCGATGATTTCTAATAATTTTATACTGTCAGGAGCTTAGATATTTTGTTTTATTATATTGTGTTTATATTGTATATTGTTTTTTATCATTTATATTGTATCAATATTATTTCTTTGTAAATTTTGATAATATTTTTACAAAAAAATGTATTTCTTCTAAAAATCAGCGTTTCAAAATTATTCCCACGTGTCTAAAAGATGCATTAAATTTTGAAACACACGAAATTCGTTATTAAAATTATTTTGTTTCAATTATTTCGTTTATGTTGCGTCTCGCATTGAAAACAAAATCGCTCGCATTTGTTTCTAAAACAATCGTACATCGCGCACAATGACTCGTGACAATGACAGAATTAATATGATATCTCGTTTCAATAAATTAATGCTACGTATTTCCGTCGCGCTTCGCGCTGTACATCTCCGTTACATTAAAACAACATACAGGTATTTACAGCAAGACAGCAGTTTCCGAGTAATTCTTCCTAATTGCCAGGACGGCGGCAACCTGCATCTAAAATGCATAGCAACGCGTGGCAGAATAGTTGATGCTACACGAAAATAAAAGTTTCTTTCCTTCTGTTAAATTTATCGTTTTGATAGAAAAATAAAATTTATGACAATAAAAATATCATAATATCCTTTTAATAAAACTGTCCCAAATTAAAAATTAACTTGACAGGAAAAAATTTGTAAAGAAAAATTTAAAAAAAGCATGTCATAGATATTTTAAAGTTTCGACGAGAGTGCTGAAATTAATATTTATTTCCTGTGTGTGTGTGTGTGTGTGTGTGTGTGTGTGTGTGTGTGTGTGTGTGTGTTTTTTATTGTAATAATTATAAAAAATTTATACCGCCACGAACTATATCATGCAAAGTCAAAAGTAATGAGCTAAGATCGAGCGTGCTCTCATCGTCGTGAATTAAAATAAAAGGGCAAATGGTGCAGTAGGACGCGCGATATTAAAGAGGCCAGAGTGTCGGAAGGGGAATGATTAATCGTTGAGCAATCTCTCCCCCACGCATTCAAAAAAAAAAAAGAAAACACGCGTAGGCGAACACGAGAACAACTGATGGTGTGACATGTTTGCGAAATGTATCACACAATCTTGATCAACGGTTTATTTCTTGACTAATATGACACTTATTACGTATACGGCATAAATTCGTATACGCAATGCTCGGAGAAAAATGTTTAACCTTATCCCAGAAGAAAATAGTTTTATTAGAAATTAATATTATTAGTAATATATTATGATTTGAACATTTCAAAATTATACAACTAAATCTATGGCTAAGAATAGTTTTTGATGTCTGATTTATTCAGATATTCTAAAATTTCTAAGTTTTACTTCCATATAAGTAATTTGAGTAAAGAATTAAAAATTTGTAATTCTCACATGTAACATTTTTTTTAAGAAAAAATCAATTTCTTGATATGTTGAATTAAATAATTTTAAATGTTTTGATAAAAGACTTCTTTAAGTATCATAGTCAGTAACTTTCAATGAGTCAAATAATATCTACTTATAGAATGGTAAATAATAATTATATTTTTAAAGATTGCATCACATATTAAAGTATATGTTAGCAATATAGTATTTGATAAAGAAAATCGTCATATATGATAATTTTAATAAAAGAAAAATAATATATAGTTTATAAAATTTTCCATCATAAAAATCAATTTCATGCTCCAATAAATAGCTTATGCAATAATGTCACAATGTATTTTTATATTTCCTTATATAGAAGGAAATTGATATGTGTTCTTATCTTTATGAATGAAACATATCAATAAGAAAAAAAAAAAAATTTTTTCCCATTTGTGTTGTAATATATGCTTAGATATAACAAGCCTAAGATGCAATGCATGTGAATAGATAAGTTTTTATTTGTTTTATAAGTAATTATTGATATATCTGTTATTTAACATATGCAGAGTTAAAATACAAAAGAATAAAAAAGTATATAAATATAAAAGTTTTGTAAAAAAAAAATAACATTACAAACACAAGAAATAGCTTCTTTCATTATTTTGAATAAATTACCATATTCTTGACTTAAAAGTTTAAAAGTAAATTTGATTCTAGAAAAGAAAAAATTACACCACTGACCTTTCAACATACATATAGTTAAATGTTATTCTGTGTATCATAAATGCATCAGCAAAAGGTAACATTTTCTAATATTATTTTCTAACACAAATCTTATTCTACATAAGCATGAAAGAGACTACATGCTCTGTGACATCTCAATGTGTTTAATCAACATTGACAAACATAATCCATGGATATACAGATAGTAGAGATTATATCACAGGACACCTCAATGTGCATAATCAACATAAACCAGCACGAATGCTCTATGTATTCATGAATGCACAAGAAGAGAGGATTCACATTGACCAAAATCTTAAATGTCTAATTGACAATATTTGGACATGAATAATATTGAATATATCTGTAAATATAGCAGATGTGTGTTACATCTCTCAGATCTTACATTCAATTAATGCATCCAATTAATACTAGTAAATATAAATACAGTGTATCTATAAATATAAGAAAAGATTAGGATTTCCATGTGCATGATCAATGCTAATAAATATGCTTCAAAGGAGTAAGTTACACATTGCATAGAATCTCAATAAGCTTAATATTGTTCTAATATGAATGCTACTTGCGCAGCGACAGACACATACACGAGAAGAGGTTACGTACTGTGAAATCTCAATATGTCTAATCAACATTGACATGCAGGGATGCGCTGTGTGTCCATAAATACAAAAGGCAGATTACATCGCGCGTAATCCTAGTGTGCATAATCGGCAAATAGATAGTGTTCGGTGCATCTACGGATGCATAGAGAGAAGAGAGGTTACATCTAATGTCCGCGTACACTCGTGCCGCTCGGGCCGCGCGAGAAGTGCGGCGCGCGCGCGAGCGAACGTGAACGCAAGCGTTGGAAAATGTGCGTATGGTACTCACCGTGTGGCTACCATAGGACCTAGGATGGGTGGTATTGCTGCCGGAGGAAGGGGTAGACACGGTGGTGGCGAGCCGCTGTGCTGTCTCCGCGCGACGAAGACGATGCGTAGACATCAGGCGGCACGGGACGCACCTCGTCGACTATGCCGCTCGTCGTACACACAGGCACCGCGCTGCACGCACGTATACGCGCCGTCATCCGGCGACGGTGGTTTAAAGCAAACGCGAAGGAAGGAAAAACAAACTCGAGGGAGAACGGGACGACACCCCGATCGCACACTCGTCGCCGGATATTTCGTCACGAAATTCCGGGAAGCGCACCAGGAAGCGTATTCCGGCAGCGGCGGATTAATATGGCCGTCTCTCGGTTGACACGGAGGCTCGGGTCGCGCGTAAAAGCGAGCGGCTGTAACGGTGGCGGCAGCGGCGGTGACGGCTGCTCGGTATTGCTGGTACGACAACGACAGCTACGCACTGTGCTGGCAACCTTGTAGCTCGCATACGACGCGCACGCATTTGTTTCACTCGCGGGAAACTACCACGCACCACCCACGATCATGACGACTTAGCTGAAGCTTAGCGCGATGAGATACACTCGACATTCGCGTAATCTCATTCTCTCCCTCTCTTTTTCTCCCTCGCCGGATTTTTTTCACGCGCGCAGCGACCCGGTGAAGCCTGTCCGCTTAGCTCCTTGCGTTGCTTCCTTTTCGTTCGTTCTTATCCTCTTCGGCGATGAAACACCGATTACGTGATCTCTCTTTCTCTCTCTCTCTCGCTCCTTTCACGTAAACGTGTGTCCGACGTTTCGGGCTTCGTTTTTAATCACGATAGGCACGTTCCTTGAGAGCACTCGCTCCGTATTTCTTTCTTTCTCCAGTTGGCTGTCCGTCTCTCTTTCTTTCGTCTCTTCTCTCTCGCTCCCTCTGGCCGTTCTGTCGTCGGCCACTGTCGGGCACACCGAGGGAGAGAGACACCGTGCAGTCGCACGAATCTACCGCACTCGACGGATCAACGGGCACCACCTTTGCTCTTGTTCTCGTTCTCTCGTCCGTTCGTCGCCCGCGACGATGCTCGACGACACGACCCACACGGCGTACGCGGTCACACGCACGCACGCACGGTTATTTTCACGCTGCGCGAGGACGTGACGCGACCTCGGTGCGAACGACAACGTCAACATCACCACCGTACGCTTTCGTGGCGGCCATCTTTTTCGGGGATACGATGGCGATACGTGAATCACGGAACGCATGCGCGTACTTGGGTGTAATTGCGCGAGGGCGCTGCGCTCAAACTGTGTTGCGTATGTTGTATGAAAATACATGCGAATATACCAAGCGTGGATACAGCAATATATTTAAAAATATATGAAAATCAAATATCAAGTATTTTAAATCATATAAACTATAGTATCGAATAAAATTGTTGATATCTCTTATAACTCAAGCCAAAAATATATCTATCTAGAAAAATATTTTGTTTTTTTATACTTTCCAGGAAATTTTATATACTGTTTTAAATTTAAAAAATTAAAGGTTATACAAGTTTTGAAACATCTTGTATGAGTACAATAGGTATCCTTGATAAGTTCCTGATGAACAAACTAAACACAAACAAACTTTATATACGCGATCGTCATGCAAACGTACACCAGCATAGAAAGGAACAAACTACGCACAAATATAGACACAGTACTACCAACTACCTTGACGAATGAATAGCTGATTGGACGAAAGGAATGTAAAATCATGGTGTTCAGTAGGGAATTTTGAAAGCATGTCGTTTGTCCAAAATATTTTAACTAACGATATCATGAGAAATTACACTATAGACACACGTTTGCCAACAGTAATTTTTAAGGTGCCTCTTTATGTTAAAATTAAGTGTCGAACGTCAGCGTAAAAAGGCACCTTTAATTCGCTATACAGTCTGTGATACACACACTGAAGTTTATATAAAAAATTAGTAATTTCAAAAAATAAAACAAACATAATTTGCTAAAAACTAAAAACGAAAATTAAACGCATGTATATCGCATATATCTATGCACGTTTAATTTTTTCAGCCTAAATTAATCACGGAATTAAATTTTTATTCACTCAAAATTGCTTTGATAAAATTAAAACGCAAAAAATTATACTTTCAATAAAGATATACATTATAGCCAAATATGATCCGTTCATATATTAAAAGCTGCAGGATTAATATATTAATAAGATTTTTTTATTTGTTTAATGGTTGGCCAAAAATAATCTTAATCTAAATACTCTGAAAATATTTGCCCATTTTTTATTGAAATATATAAATTCCGTTCAAAAAAGTTGTGCTGTAAGAAACTGTAAAAATACCAAACAAAAATACCGCTCCTTAGTTCTTTGACACACATATATCAGCAAAATAAATCTATATCCTTACAAAAAAATAATACACCTAACATACATGTTTTAAATTTCATGAATATATTAATTTTCTTTTGATATCAAAATTTTTGTTGCACATAAATAAAGAATTATTTCATAAAAATATAACATTAATAGAATAACAAATTTTTTATAATCTTTTCATAAATAATTTATAAATCTAAAAGAATGGAATAGACTGCTCAATGGCAAAATAGAATCAATTTTCTCCTATTTTTACTGGATGTTTTATAATAATCTAATAATTTTGATATTTTATTCTTTCATTTTGTGCAACAAAAACAAATATATTTTTAATATAAAACGTCAAATATATCGAATATAAAATTTTCTTAAGGAATAAATTCCTTCCTTATATCATAAAAATGTATAAACTTGTTCACAAATTTACTCCTGTATAAATTTTACATGTATGTAAAGATACTTTTCAAAAAATAAACGTCATTTTTGCTTAGATAAATGCCTATCTAACTATTGTTAGGCATTTCAAAAGACAGAAGTTTGAAGATAATTAAGTCGTTAAATTGTAATTTGAATATAGATTTTCATATACCTTTAAACATCAGAAATTGAATTCTGTCAAAATTATATGAATTTTAATCTACTTTATAGTTTTATAGGCGCTTTAAAGATGGAATGTTTCATCACGTATACTTCGTCGAGATTTGTGCTTTGAAAAAATAGATTTGTTATTTGTACATAGGCAGCTCTTCGTTGATCTCACCAGCATGATCTCTAATCATAATGGCTAATATTTTAAAATCTCCTGTATTGCCGTGACGATATTACGGGCACTAATGCCGTAATTGTTGAGAAGCACCGTAGGCGGTCCAGAACGCGGTATATCTTGTACAGCCAGTTTCTTCACTATTATGTTTTTCTCCAAACTAACTGCGGATTGAACCGCTTCTCCCAGACCACCTTGCGGATAATGATCTTCAACAGTGATAATTTTGCCGCCAACTTCCTTGGCATTCTTTATAATTGTTTGCGCATCAATGGGTTTGATCGTGAATGGATCAATCACGCGAATAAATAGTCCAGCCTTGGCCAATTCATCGGCCGCCTTAATCGCCTCATGTAATGTTACACCAGCGCCGATCACAAGTACTTGATCTTTCGGGGATGATTTGACCACCTTGGCTTTACCAATTTCCAGCGGCTCATTATTGTTGTACAAAACCGCCGTAGCAGGACGAGAAGTGCGAATGAAGCAAATGCCTTTGGTATTTGCTGCTAATTCTACGGCGCGCTCCGTTGACACAGCGTCGCTGGGATAAAAGATAGTGGAACCTGGTACCGTGCGGAACATCGCGATGTCTTCCAAACCCATCTGCGAAGGACCGTCTTCACCAATAGACACGCCGCAATGCGAACCAACAAAATTTACATTTGTCTGAGATATCGCACCCATACGAATCTGTATCGAAAATTAACAATGCATTAAAATCTATTCTTTCATTATCATGCGTAAATTTTCATAACTGATTTGCGCTTTACCTGATCAAAGGCACGCGTGAAGAATGTCGCAAAAGCGGACACGAATGCGACAGCACGGTCTCTACAAGCGGTACCAATCGCAACACCCACAACATTTTGTTCAGCAATAAATCCTTCGATAAATCTAGCTGGATCAACTGCTTTTATCTTATCAGCATAAGTAGAATTCTTTGTATCACCGTCAAGAGCTATGACACGAGGATGATTCTTCGCCAACTGTGACATCACAATAAAAGATACAATTTAAAAAATGTATTTCATAAACATTTATAGTGCTAAAGATATACAAACCTTCGCAAGAGCTGTGCCATACGCCAATCTGGTGGCTACTTCTTCACCTAGCTTGTAATTTGGAGGTGAAGCTAATTTAACGTTGCTGATATCTACAAGAGGAGCATCTTCTACAAGTGGCTTTTGTGGGTGTAATCCAAGAGGACCGGAATTTTTCAAAAGTCCTCGCAGATGCTGTAAATTATAAATAAATATTACAATTAATGGATTAAACACTAAGATACGCACAATAATAATTAAATGGATTATTAATAATTAATATTATATTAATGTTAGTTATAAGATACCTGGATAACTTCATTTGCCTTATTACCCAAAGGCTTGCCATGCCAATTTTCTAGATCTTCGACTTCAGGGAAGTTTTTGCCCTTAAAAGTCTTAGCTAAAATGGCAGTGGGACGTCCTTTCGTATTTTGTGCTCCATGGAAGGCCTTAAAAATAAAATTTTGTTAATGTCTATCTTTAGCTTGCTTAATATAATAATAAAACTTACTTTTGCTAATTCTTCAACATCATGACCATCTACAACTAAAGCATTGAAACCAAAGGCCTCTAGTCTTTTGCGATAAACTTCCATATTATGTTGCAGTGAGGTCGGCTCGCTTTGTCCAAGACGATTGATGTCAAATATGGCACAGAGATTATCCAACTTATAGTAGGATGAAAAATGGAGAGCTTCCCAAATGGAACCTTCTGCCGCTTCTCCATCACCAATCAAACAATATACACTAAAAGATAGATAAATATATATTATCATTACATTATTATGCAAGCAGAAATATGTTTGAATATGAAGGCAGATTCTATTATTTAATAATAGAAACCATTAGTTGTTAATATTAAATAACATACCGATAACTGGCTTTATCGTAATTCTTTCCGACATAAGCCATGCCAGCGGCAATGGAAAGGCCTTGTCCTAGTGAACCAGTTCCTACGTCCACAAAATTGAGTCTTGGCGTAGGATGACCCTCCAAATCGCTATCAAACTTTCTCAAGTTCAATAATTCGTTAGCTGGAAACAAGCCTGCTTCTGCCCATGCTACAAAAGTAAAATATGATTTGAAATGCATAAATTCATTTTTCTATAAGTATGTGGTGAGTATTAATAAATATTCGATTAAACAACAAATTACACTACATAATTATAAAATGATTAAATCAATTACATTAATACGATTAAATTATATTAAAATGTTTAATTAATAACACTGTATTTATCAATAATACCAAACTGATGACTTTAATAAAACAATATAATTATTTATCGGCAATAAATTTACCTGCATAAAGAATTGGAGCCGCATGGCCTTTGCTGAGGACAAATCTATCATTGTTTGGATCGCGCGGTGTTGATACCTTGTAACGCATTGTATGGAAAAAAAGAACAGACATAATTTCTGCCATCGACGAACATGATGTTGGATGCCTAGAACAAAACAAAATAGAAATAAATGTAGAATTAAATAAACATATAATTAATAATTCAATTTCGATGCCGATTAATAAAAATATTTAATTTTTTTTAAAACTGTTTCGTGTTAATGATAAGTCCGTTCACATAATCGAACGATATCTGTTTTTCTAAAATTATTTGCTATCGTTGCAAGGTCAAAGTATGGATAAAGCATCTACCATCGTCAGAGTATCAATCTTCGTGTATATATATATATATGACCTTAATGGAGGTCATTCTGATATCCAGGAATGATAAACTCTTATAAAATATGTTACAAAATCTATTTTCTCTCTTACCTTACTCTGCAAAATTTTCTTTAAATATGATTGAAGACGTCTTATAAATAATTTCTCTTGGACATTTTTAGATCTTTATATTAAGAAATTATAATAATTTATCACATAGATGTATACAAATGAAACATGTTGTTGCATATCATGTATTGAATCTTACAACTTGTTCTTGAATGAAAATTAACTTCAAATTAATTAGGAAATCTATCATTGAGAGAATAATGATGTTAAATCTTGTATGACTTGTCTAACGGAGCTTAACTACTTGTTATAAAATATTAAAGATAATATGTCTCGTTTGAGAGGTCTGATGTTTATAGAAAGGTGGTGTATCGTTTGTAATTGATGTTTGTAAAAAGAATTAATTATATATATATAAGAACGTTAATTTGTTATAGAAATAGTTTGTAATATTTTTGTCATACCCGCTTTTTGATGCTTCAGTTGCTTGTATGCACTCGATACGCAGCTTATTAGCGAGATCTTGGAGTTTTTCCATGTTCGTATCTCGTACCATTGTGAATTAAAATACACGTGGGTCTTAAAATCTGCGTCGTGGCGTCGGGACAATGAGCGTTCGATCGCGACTGCTGGCGAGAAGAGTCCCGGCAAATGAATTGACTGTGCGAATATCTCCCTACCTCTTCGGCTCGTTACATGACGTCGACTATATAGGGTGTCCCGAAACATAAAATACATGCGACTTGCATACAACGCGAAAAATTGATAAGAGCCCTTTCACATTGAGCAATTTCTTTTTATCAAATTTAATGTTTCAACATACCAGTTTCCACTAAAATAAATATTTCTTGTAATTTTTAATTGATACTTTAATGCCCTTACATTGCTTGTAATTAATTATATTTATCTTTGCATTTTTCTATTGTATTTTTACTCTTTTGATTGTTTCAATATTTCGTGACTTGGAAATGTAAACTGCGAACGTGCAAAAATAAAGATTTTGTCATTTTATTTTTACCAGTTGCACTTTGGAATCGATCAATAAAACATGTAAAACGATTTTACATCACGATGGAGTCTTTATAATGTTTGTCGCAAATTACTGCATATTAAGTTTGTAATTTAGGTAGATACATTTTATATAAGCAAATTTTTATTATGTGTTCTATCCGTGAAAAAAAGTTTAGTGAATGTATTACTTTGTTAACGGTTTTTTACTTTTCTAAGAATTATGAGAATATAATTATCTATTTTATACACTTTTTGTAATTAAGATTATCTTAATAAATCTTGTGCTATATACTACAATTTGTGCAATTTATTTTTATCAAGATATTCGTTGTTCAAATTTTAATTTGCCAGCAAACATAGTATACTGCTATTACCATATTCCTTCTATCGCGTGACCTCGGCGTAATACAAGCGCATAATTCCTTCACTTCTTTTTGTGTGTATCTTTACACAATCTTCTACAATCGTGTACAAAAGAAAAAAATACCGTAAAATGAACGTGATTCTTTATATTCTTTATGATACATGTGGAATATTTTTTCTGTTATTGCATAATCGAATGATTTGTATCATTAAGTTTACGATTAGAAATGTTCATTAAATAGAATTGTGCAATAAATAATTACATATAATTAAAATTATTTTATATTTATTTTAGAACGTTTTTATAAAATTTGTATTAGGTGTATCACACATCGGCTAGCGAAATTAAGATACCAAAAACGCTAGTCACAATGCGTGAGAAAATGCTAACAGTTCTCATGTTGAAAGAACTAATGAGCTAGCGATTTTTGAAATTAGATTACGGTCGGTGCATTCCACAATGATAAAAAAAATCAAATAAAATTTTAATTGGGTTGGTGAAATATATAGTATAAATTTCATACACAAGTAATAAAATGTTATATTATATAATAGTTTGTTCGAAATAATTAAATCGTTAATTGAAACAAGTATTTTTTATCTCGGTAAAAAAAATGTTTTTTGCATGACTACAAGATAAAAATCCAAGCTAAATAAACTGAAATTAAATCGATTTTATAATGTTTATTCTAAAATTATTTTCTTGGAAACTTCTTTCATCCGCTTTTATCTTATTTTACATTTAAATAATAAAATATTTTTAGAGATCAGAATAACATAAATATGGAATATGGAAAAATGATAAGTACAAAATCAATGATGTCAGAGATCGGATATTCGTTAAATGCTGATTAGCATTTTGTAGTTAGCATAACTTTCGCGGTATTTTGACCTCTAATAACTAATTATGAATATCTCAGTTACATTATACGTAACTGGCATGATGCTCTTATCAAGAATTGCAGAAATATATATATAGATCAAGTATGTAAAGACGTCTATTTCTTTCAAGACATAAATCTTTAATTTATGATTCTATTTATTAGCGTGCAAAAAGCGTAATATATCACAGCCAGTCATAACATTCCAACAAAACGCAATGATTATCTTGACCAATAGCATTATACATCCCCAAATTTCCGAACCTATAATTACATCATTATCGCATAATCATACGACACGTTTTCGCTTATCATCATCCGACCGACAAGGATATTACTGTGCCGGTTGCAGTTATTAAGTAACCGCATTCATTATCGTTCGATTGATAGCAGCGGAGAAGAGCTTACCCGGATTTGCTGGCCTGCGTGGCTTCGATAGAGTGAATTCTCAACTTGTTTGCGATATCCCGCAATTCTTGGATGGTTTTTGATTCCGGCTTATGGTAATTCGCCATTTTTTTTATCGGTGCGTATCTTCGACGGTGCGCTACTTTTTCAATGATCTCCACAAAATGCAACGTACGTACACGAATGAACGTGCAACAAGTAGATTCGCGCGAGCCGAACGTGACCGAGCGTGACGATTGTGGATGCAGTTCCGACCATAGAATAATAATTGATAGATCTGGAATAATGATTAATTAGAAAATGCTATTTTCAATGGAAGAGCATAATGGAAGATTTACACCGTTTTCATAATCTGACATACGACATCCGATATCCAATAGAAAAATTCATTTTCTAAGCACTATTATAACACTAGACATAACAACTTTTTATTGGATATCATCATTTTATATGACGCAGTATGAATCCTACATAAGGCTATCAGTTTAAAAACTGTAAAATTAAGCAGGTTTTAATAAAATATCTCATCGTCGTTAAAAAACTTACATATTACTCAAATAATTACGTATTGAAATTTTGTCATGTGGAATTATTTTAGTCGTTTCTTAAATTTATTTCTTTTAGACTTCATTGACCAGAGTAGTTGACATCTGTTCGAATTAAACATCCCATGTCGCATACTGTTTTTGTATAGAAAGTAAACCGTCAAATGCCGAGTATAATGACGTTTAGACGCATCATATAAATTTATGTCAAAATATTTTGTATGTATAATAATTATTTTAGAAATTATCCTTCAATTATCTGTACACAGATTATTTAAAATTAAAAAGTGTTATTAAAAATATTAATCACATCTAGTAAACTAGTATTGTAAGCTGTATATCCATACTACTATGATAATTACACTGTGATAATTATTTTGCTAGGAGCAATGGTAGAGACTGCCTGCGATCCTACATTTGAGAGACATTTTAAAGGTCATAAAGATGGAATTACTGCTTTGTGCTTTCATCCAAATGCTACTCAACTCGTGTCAAGTAGTCTGGATAAAACATTATTGGTATGGAATTTGTCAGAATTAGTGAGAGCTTACAGATTTATAGCTCATAAAGATGGTATTTTGGATGTGTGCTATGCACCATCTGGAGAAGTTATAGCCAGTGCTTCCAAGGACCGATCTGTGAGAGTTTGGGTTCCTAAAGTTACAGGACAATCACTAGACTTTAAAGCTCACAGTTCAGCTGTAAGGTCAGTGCAATTTAGTCCAGATGGAGAAAAGGTAACTTTTGTTTTAATCAATTATTAATCAATTTAAGTGTCTTTATAAATAATTGAAATTGTTCAATATGTTTAGTTACTTACTGCATCAGATGACAAAAGTATAAAGCTATGGATGGTATGTCAGAGAAGATTTCTTATGTCATTTAGTGGGCATACAAATTGGGTTCGATGCGCTAAATTTTCTCCCGATGGTAGATTGATAACATCCTGCAGTGATGATAAGACAATAAAAATATGGGATATCATTAGTGGAAAATGTGTTAAAACCTTTAATGAGATAAAAGGTTTGTTAAGTATATCTATTATTATCTAAAGTATATTGAGTAAAATTAAGAACATTTAGAATAATATTTTAATTAATTAGCATGTGCTACATATGTGGAGTTTCATCCAAGCGGTGCAGCTATTGGTTCAGCAAACATGGGTGCATGTATTAAATTATATGACTTAAGAACAGGCTCTTTGTATCAGCATTATGCTGCTCACAAAGGGCCTGTAAACATGATCAAATTCCACCCAAAGGGTAGCTTCATGTTGACAGCTTCCAATGATTCTACAATAAAGGTATTTTTTTGAATTCATAACTCTAAATATTTCAATAAACTATTTTTGTATCTATTGATACTAAGAAATGTCTAATAGGTTTTAGATCTATTAGAAGGTCGACCAATATATACTCTAAAGGGACATGCTGATAGCGTAACATCGATAACGTTTTCACAAGATGGTGACTTTTTTGCTTCTGGCAGCGCGGATCGACAAGTGTTAATGTGGAAGTCTAATTTTTGTAAAAATGACAGATACTTTAAATCCTTAAGAAAGGTCCCTGAACAATCAATACCTTCTGGTAGCAAACAGGAGTCTGACAGTGAAGATAGAAAGTCATCTACAAACAGTGACAAACATGAAGATATGCAAGAGGAGCAGAATCAAGAAACAGTAATAAACTGATGTGAATATAGTGCCTTAAGTTATAGAAAGTAACAATAATATTATAGAAAAAACGAAGTGCTATTTGTTAAATTATATTAGATTCATTTTTAAGATATTATATTTCAGGATATATTAGATGCATTAGAAATGTTGGATTTAGAATCAAACAGAAGTTATTGTAAAGGACCCATAGCTGAGATGCCAACAAAAAGTATAAGCAGAAAGATCGAAGTGATCAACTTGAAGAATACTATATCTTCTGAAAAAGGTCGTGTAATAAACATCCCAGTTTCACAAGATGATACATTGCTATGTATGTATTCGTCTAGTCAGTCCGTTAAAGCAGTAGAAGCACTTCGTGATCAAGTCCAATCATTATATGACACTGTTAACATATTAGAGCAACGTTTGACAGTATTAGAGGAGGAACTTAAAAAATGAATTTATATTATCTTATATATTTTATCTTTGTCATTAGATATTAATGATTAATTAATGAAATAATATACCTGTGTGTTTGTGTGTGCCATCTTGACAAATAATTTATACTTTCCGAGCAGAATTGACGTGAGTAGAATTTGTAATATATATTATAAATATATGTAATATATATTATAAAGATTACCGCAGCTTGATAAATTTTATGATTTATTGTAGACAAAAAAAAATTCAACACTGTTATAAATTCAAAATCTAGTTTGTAATATGCATGATACTTATGAAATGTACTTAAAAAAATAATTTTATTATTTAAGGTTCTAAAAAGAAAAATATTTTACATTTGTATACAATATGTGATTATATTATGTATTATATCACATATTACAATATGTGATACAAAGTATGATTAATTTTATCAATTTTGAAAAAATGTATTATGTATCTGACAGTACAGACACAGCATCTGTTATAATTACACCATAAAAGTTTTCATTTTAGTGTCCTTAAATATTGGCACGTTTTTCCTGTTTTTTTAATTGTCTCCAAAATCTCATCTGAACTGAGTCCAGTAGTTACAGATACCTTCTTTCCTTGTAAATCAATCTTGAAGTCCTCGATACCTAAAAATATATTGAAATAGTTACTAAAATATAAGTTTAAACATAAGTTGCAATATTATATTTGCATCTTTTTTATTAAAATTATAATTATATATTATGTTATACTTTTCTTAAGTATATTTTATTTGATATCTTAATTTCTTTATATATTTAATATTTAGATTTTTTCTTATGTATCAAGATATATTTAACCTCAATTTATACATTGGATCAATTTTTATCAAAGAAAATAACGGCGTCAAGAAGTATTAATAAAATATTATTTACGAAATGTTACGTACCAAAAGATTTTTGTAGTTACAAAATTATTGAAAGTATTTTCATGTATTATACATACCTGTTTTTTTCTTGAGCACATTCTCTACAGCATTCGAACAACCTTCGCATGTCATTTCGACACTGAATTCGTGTACCTTATAAATAGACTATTTATTAAACATTCTCTATTAAAATTTGTTTAAAATAGAAAGATTATTTTGACGTTACCTGAGCTGCCATAATGACAATACGCGTTCGAAGTTTGACGTGGCAGATGGGTTATTTCCAGATCAAGTGATGGAGGATCCTATCAAATAATGTGTAGAGAAGTCTTATCTAGAGTTGTACTAACAATAAGATAATGTTTATATTTATCAAATTTTGTCAGTTTCTGATTTCAAAGTCATGTAACCATATGTTAGCCGGAGTGACTAATGACTTTCATCTGATAAACACAACAACGTTTCTCAGAGAAGAGATTTAATTTATGTATCAATTGTGTGTTTAATATTATAAGGTAAGATATTGATGAATTATTTTGTGTACAATGATTGCTGTTTAAAGAGATTTACAAAGATAAGGAAGATAAGACAGGAATTTAAATTGTACAATGTACGGAAAGTAGGCTGGATCAATTTGTTTATATAAAATTTCAAACATTCGAAAATCATAGTTAAAATTTTAACTAATTTTTCAATCACGTTAAATGCATATATTATCGTCAAAACTAAGTGTTTCAAAAAACACTTAGTTATAATTTCATGTATATTTCAATTTTAGATTTATTTTTCTCGTATATGTGCATGTTTTAAAAGGCATGTCTTTTATTTGATTATTTGACTGACACTGTTTATAGATTACATTTTTCAAAAGTTAAAATTTTTGAAATTTCTTAAATTAAAAATTCTTAAAAATATTTTAGAGTCAATTTTAAGCACAAAAATATTTATAAAGAATTATTAATAATTATAACAAGAGAAATATTTTTATAAGAAATGATTAAACTTTTTAATAATTGTTCAGCTTATTAAACACGATATAAATATTCTACAAATATGTATACAATATTTATAAGTAATTGAAAGTAGTATTAAACAAGCCACTCAGGAAATTCAGTTTTTATTTTCATTTTTGCATCTTAACATAAGGTAAAAAAGTATCATGTTTGCTTATTAATTGTCAGACTCTGCATATCTCAGGACTGTCGTTTTAACTGCGAGTACATGAAAAACAAGCTTACATTCTACTTACAGTATGATCTTGCTATTATTTTGGCTAAAGGATGAATTCACAATACAGATTTTTTAGATTGGCTATAACGTTCCTATGATAGTTTTCTTTTTTTTTAGTATATTATGATGGAAGTTCCATTTATATAATTTTCGATGGCAGAAAGCGAGTAAAATATACACACGTGATAAATTCTGTACTTTTCCTGCATTTTATATTTGATGATTTCAAGAACATAAACTGGTAATTATTAAATGTCTGTGCAAATGAAAGATTTTATCACAGCATTAAGCTCGTACTGAGAATACTTGATTTGCACATTCTACAAATCGGATATTTTGTCGATCATTGCTCTCTACACGTATCACTCATTCATACATTTATCTATAATCTAATTTACAGTCAATCATATTGCTCTATAATATTAATATAATAGTCCTTAATCATTACACTTAGTTCGTTAATATACCTCTCGATACACTTATCGAATGCAGTGCTGCTATTTTTTGCAGGAGTATATTTAGAATTATACTTACTGTACCAGAATACTTTGCCCTTCGACTTATGCAGGATCATAATACAGTTGTCTTCTTTCTCTCGATTCTTTTTATTTATCCGACAAATAGGAAATTTACACACTGACGAGTACGGATAATTCATATCGCGGCGTATTTCATGCTTATCGAGGATCAAAAAACATGTCTATTACATTTGACGTTCTACAAAGCATCAGGGACTAGCAACAGTGTGGCTGAAATGCAATTTTATATAACAAATTGTAATTGTAACGAAGCGGTCTTACTAATATTAAATTTTAGTACTTTAGCGTACTTGTTAAGTCTTCAAGATGATTCAAGGACGCGAATGGGGATTGCTATATATGGCATATTCGTGATTTCCGGAAATTACCATTTCCCCATTTGCATATACGTCGTATGCATGTAACATTATATAAGTACATACACCATAAATTAGAAGCGAAATGGGGGAGAGATTTTCTCATTAAAATATATCCGTTCTCTTGATAAGAAAAGAGGAGGAGGCCATCGATTTGATCTTGATAAAAGGATGAGTCGTAGATACATGTGCAAAAGAAACTCCATAGTATGCTGCGACATTATCAGGAAATGGGATAATTTGTGCACAATATTATGAAATAATTATTGCTAACTGAAGCTCGTTTTGTACGGCAGTCTATTCTATTTCTTATTATTCGATGTAAATGCAATGCAAACATGTTGCTATTAAATCATAAAAATATAATGTCGAATGCTGAACGCAAGAGTCAATGATTGGAAGATAGTTATCTAAAAAGAAAAAAAGAAGAAAATGCAGCTCTTTGTACTAGTAAAGTGCGCTTTGTCATACAGTAATTTACAACATGACGCAAATCTGGAAATAAAAATTTTCGATTACTTCATTATATTGTTCGTGTTCAGTCCGACGGATTAACTGGATTGTAGCCTGATAGTGGATTAGCGTGCATCCAACGTCAGAGAAAACTGTAAGTGTTCTGAACCGCTCTGCCAGTGGCCTGTTGCTCCGCAATAATGCTTTGTTGCACTAGTCTCTCCAATGATTCCACACGCGTTCTTATAGAACCACCATACGTGCGTACCTATTTTATTAATATTTTGTGAGTTCTCTTATTTTTAATCTTATTACTTTATCAGAAGTTTCTCTTAAAGTTTCTGGATTATAACATTAGTATAAAGTGTACACAGGATGTCGGAAAGATGTCTGTCAATATAAGAGTTTAGAGTTTATTATTGATAATTAAATTATTAAATAATAAATTATATATGTTTATAGTTGTACATATATCTGTAATTTCCGTAAATGCTTGTATACAGATTTATCTTAAAAAATATTGACGTAGATTCTACCAACAGCCTGTGCAAAAATGTAAGCAAACAGGATCTCTTGCCCAGAATAATAATAATATTATTAATATTATTATTATTATTAATTATTAATAATATTATTAATATTATTATTAATATTATTTATTTAATAAAGTTGTCTACATAGATTCTTCATAATTTGCAAATTAAGTGATTTAATTTTCAAATTATCAAGATGCTACTATAGTTACTATAAGAATTTCTGGACGTTCCCATGTTGCTTGAAACTTAAAATTGAAACAAATAAATCTTATCCAGCAAACCAGAAATTTCAAGAAAAAGCTTTTACACGTATTTTACAAGTAAAAGCGAGTTCCTTGTCCCACGGTCATTTTCTCTTTTTTTTTAACATTATATGTTTCAAATATTTGTTATTTGTATTTCCAAAAATTTCATCACGTGATGATAATTTTATATATTTAGACGAATGATATACAAGTTTAAACAAATCATGTTGTTTAATAAAATAATAAATAAATAAAAAATGTAACTATGTTATAACATATCTCGGATATAAGGAAATTAGAAAAAATAATTAACATAAGGAATTTTAATAATATAATGTAATTTTGTTTTTTTTTTTGTAATATTTTTTGAACATATATTTAATAAATTATAACAAATATTAGATCATCGTAAGAAGAGTACATAAATAAATCACATTCCATAATTTAACTTTGTATATCAATCTACACAAATTTTCATCAAATTCACAGAAAGTTTACGGAAATGCAGATACCAAGCAAATTTGTTCTGTATTATCAATCATACGATTAATACGGGCGCTTTAGCTGGTTATCTACTCACTGTCTGTAGATTAGACTTCAGACTGTGGGTGTTGGCCACTCGCGCTCACACAAGAGGAGTTAGACTTCCACTGCAGACTCTTACTTCTCTGGGCTCCAAGATTGCTGGAGGTCTCCTCTCTTGCGACTGTTGCACATTCGTAGCACTCGCCACATTATGATGCCCTGATCGCGATGCATGGTTCGTCGCCACTACGTACTCTGTTAAAGTAACATCCGCAGTCCCACCAGACTCGAGAGGTATCGCATTTTGACGAAAGTGTTCAAGCATATCATATATCGCAGGAAAACATAAGTGTTGGACTCTGCAGTGACCCTGATCGTTCAGCGTCATCCGTAAGTGCTGTAGTAGAAAGTATAAAGAACATTACATGCGTGTAATGATATAAATTATTTAAATACCATTTATTAGAAAAAACGTTAGAAATAATATCTGTAATTACTTTTGCTCTTCCTTGGAAATTAAAAGTTAACACAAATTCTCCTTTTCTGGTTTCACTTTGCCGAACCAGGAACACACCATGACCATTAGCTGCGCTATGTAACACAAGCTGCGCGGCATCTGAGCGAGGAAGGGTACCATGAAACCATGGGTATTCTCGTAAACTACTCGATAAATCCAGCTCGCCTTCATTAGTAGGAACTACAAACAAATATATAACTTGATTAGATTGTTCGTTGGACAATATTATTCTAGTAATTTGCACGAATTCGTTGCTTACTTTGCTCGATTTCTTGTTGAGAGGAACATAATTCTAAATTACTGCTGCTGCGCATACGGAGTCTCGGAGGTAATTCTGGTGGATTGACCTGCGACTCATCGCCATGTTCATGACTAGCAGATCGGAAAGTCTTACTCGCCGAATTGGCTCGTAATCGATCACTATCTGATCCGATAGTCAATGAACCGTGGCCCAAAGAATCCCCTAAAGAATCACCTAACCCAGAACCAGGAACGCTGGAACTTTGTTGTACCGTTCGCATGCAGTATCTAATCGTTGCCAGCCACGACTTCATATCGTTCGAATCGTGTGCCTCTATGACAAATTCCATGTTTTGGGTCTTTAGAACGAATGTATTCTCGTGATCCGGCATTTCGAGTGCCGTGGTTTCCCTTGCTTCCGTTATCGCCGAGCAAAAGACACCACTTCGTGGTTTTACAGCTTTCGGTGGAGAATAAAACTCCAACATGTATCCACCAATGGCTTTTATCAGGGCTAATCGCGATTTTTCCCATTTTTGCTGCGTACCGTCTATATTTTCCCCCATCAAGGAATTTACGATTCCCTCTTTTCTACATTCCACAACGATTTTCGATAATTTAGCCTTGGAGTGTTTATCTTTACGATGTTCACTGTGAGATAATTCGACCTCATCACTCTGTTGCTTGTGGAAGAAACCTTTGCCTTTTTTGAGTCCCTTAAAAGATAATCTGCGGAAGAAAGGTTTATGAGCAGGTTTTGGCGATACCGCCTCTCCTTCATGTTCAGAGTAATCACTAAATTCCTCGTGTGATGACGCACGGACTGGTGCATTGGTAGCGTTTTGGTTTGTAAGATTTATATCTCTTTCATTGGATGTTATACTCCTAGTATCGTGCAACGACAGTGATCTAAAAAATATAAGAAAAGCACATAGATAAAAGTGCAATTTTTATATAAAAAATTATAATACAAAAGCAACAATATTACTATTGTAAATAAATTATAAAATCAACATACTACAATAAAAAAAATAGAATTTAAAATTAAAAAATTTATAAAAATAAATTATAAAAAATCTCTTGTGAAACAAAAAGTTTATGCTTTTGATTCTTTATTTTCTATTTAAATAATTAGCATTACTTATAATTTTCTATTAAGATATTTCTAAACATTTTCATGAAATTTATAACAAATAAATGCAAATATGTACATCTGCAAAGACTTTAACTATTAAACTAATTATATTTTAAACATATAAAAATTATGTACAAGTTTAAAATTTCTGTAACGTCTATCACTCAAACATCTCAAATATGACATGATAGATCATAGAGATTACTTTTAATAAATATTTACTTCGTGAAATATAAAAAATTAATTATTTCTACGATTTCACACTATAATGACGATCACACAAAACACATACCTTACGCCTTGGCGCAGATATTCGCTCTCAAAATGCTCGCAAAAGCTTTCGACAAACTTCCTGAGGAAATCACGATGCGAGAGATTAGCGCGAGCGCTCTCCGGTAAGTTCAGACTGACGTAGGCGCAAAACGCTTTAGCAAAATCGGAGGCCGAGGCGCGGGCGTGTCTCTCACAAAATTCGATCCAGTCAGTCGCTGCTTCGGGCGATGCGGCGGTCGCCGTGGACGACGTCGCCGTCGTCGTTGCAACCGGTGCCGCCACCGCCACCGCCGCCGCCGCCGCCGCCGTCGTCGTTGACGTAGCCGCCGTAGCTGTCGTTGTCGTTGTCGTCGTCGTTGCCGTTGATATCGCTGTCAATGTTGTACTTATCACCGGCGATATCGCGGTGCTCGCTGTCGGCGTGCTCGCGGTGTAAACACTCATTACCGGCGTTTGGTTCGCAAAGGGGGCGGAAGATCTCCCCCCCTTGTGCCGCCACCACCACCGCCGCCGTCGTCGTCGCCACCCGTCGCCCTCCACACTCACCCACCGTCGTGTTGAAGGGATCACCAAGGGATCTTCGAAATTCTTTCACGATCGCAAACGTCGTTGCCGCTGCTGCTGAAAAAGGAGATGAATAAGAGCGCGCGCGTCAGACATCACACTAGTATCCACGCACTCGAGCGTGTGTCCTTTTCACTGCGGATACTCAACGCGCGTCCACCGTAAACTAAACACGACGGCTGCTGAATGGCCACGGCGTAGCAGTCAAGTAACACACCAAAGTCAGTTGAGAGGGGGAAGAGTAAAGAAGGGTATCAGCGCGAGAACGTTGATACAATTCCTGCGTAAGATTCACCGGATTCGCATAAAAGTGCCAAGATGGTTTGACTCCGATCTCGAATTGTCCGTATGATTTCGTTATTACTTTTTCATCTTATTATGTCATACCGTCTTTAGTTTGCTCCGCGAAAAAAGATCTTTTGATCTCGTAACTTCACTCGCACGCATTTATCTGCATTTGACTATCTTCTCTCTACCCTATTTTCTGTCTATCTCTGTATTTCTCGTTGCCGGGTAAGTGATAGCGATCGACGGCGGCGGCAGCAGCGATTTTATCGCTTTCTTGGGGAAGCGCACATAACCGGCGCCAGTCTTATCACACGCGTGCTAAAGTCAAGGTTCCGTTTGTGTGGGATTCGTGTGATCGAGTCTTCCTCGTTTCGCGGAAATATTTACGAACATTACGAAATACGAAACCGCGACTCACTGATACCGCTGGCGCACTCTACTCTGCTTTCATCTGCTTTGCTCTTCGTCTTCTTGCACGTTGAGGTTAGTCAGTCGCGTGGTCTCTCGATAGCTCTAGAGACTCTTATTATTAAGGTAAGTTAAGATATTCCTAGGGTCTTTAGATAATTCATACACATGGAAACTCGCATTTAGACCATTCTCAAGTCATGCATTAATTGACCTATCGAATCTCTATGAATAATAAAAAAATGGAACGATTGATATGCCTTAAGTAAATTTTTTATTAATTTTTAAATTAGAGATATGTAAGTAGTTTATTTTTTATACATATGCAGTTATGCAATTTGTATGAATGTACTCTTAGTATCGGCATAGTTGGTTGACCTGTTCTACGGTTTGTCTCTGATCCTATTGGCAATTGCCAGCCGTGATAGGGAAAGACGAAAATAGTGGGGCGAGCGAAACGGCCTACCGCTGAATGTTTTGCCCTATTGTTCAGGGATGTCGTGAAAATATTGAATTTCGACTGACTGCAATTAGGTGAACGAAATTCAAGCGGTGGCGATGTGTTGTATACTTATCGAGATGGGACAAGTGCTTTACGATAAGCGCAGACTACGGTAATATCGGTTAAAACGTTGAGCACACCAACGGGCGATTCTTTGTCATGGACATGCAAGCTTCTAATGGTACGCACTTGTTTTTGTATGCGGCATAATTCATTTCCCGATCGGTCGAACGTTTGCTTTGGATGATGCGACAATTCTCGAATCGATTTTCTCGTTTATCTATATAATAAACAATCGTGGAATTGTGGAATGCGCGGAGAAAACGCGGGATGGTAAAAGGTTAAATAAAAGTATACTCTCGAGTTTTTTTAGCGTCGCTTTTCGATCTAAATGCTATTGGAAAATTTACGTTAAGTAACGGTACAATTAGTACGAAATTTATAGTTATAATAATTGTTTTATAGTTATTTTTCATATATCACGCGATAGATAGACTTAATGGAGTTATAAATCTTTTTAAGATTTATCTAGAACATTAATCAACAACATCCACACATAAATCGAGTACATAATCTCTAATTATTGCTATTTTCTCATCTCTGTTTTTATATAAAATATTATTCAGATGGATTTAGTTTTTTTCCCAAAATAGTTCTATTTCTTTATGAACAGAATTTACAAAAGAATATTTTTATGCTAATAATTGGTAAAAGTAACGACTAGTGAATCATGTGAATGTAGGCATGGATGTATGTATGAATACAGTGTATACTCCCATCCCCGGGTTACCTGAACAACTAGGGATGGTATGGATGGGGGTACATGGAGAGACTGCCCATGAACTTCTGCTGGATCCTCGCCAAACTGAGAGTCCATTCTTCTCGCATAGTTCACATCCGTATGAAGACCTCAGAAATCACATTGCTTCTACTACCATGGTACGTTATATACCGCAGCAATTTTCAAATGAATGCTCAGAATCTGACGAGGCGATGGAAGGTGTAGATGCCCATGAAATACAGCGAGTAAGTTTTATTTTTACTCAAAAGAAAAAAATCTATAATATAATATAATCTGATTTTCATATAATTTGCACTATAATTTTTTCACTTTTAAAGGAATATGATTCGCAGGCTGAAAGGCCAGAAATGAATGAATATTTAACATTAGAAGATTACATGGGTGATGAAGAACGAGAACAAATTGTGAGCAATGCTGCAACTCAAACTACTCAAGACAATCGCAATCGAAAAATAAAACCTATAAAGCATCCTGGTCTTGTTTTAAAAACGCCAATTGCTTATCAACCTCATACTGATCTAAATTTTATTCCTATTCGTAAAGATGGTATAGGTAAGTACATTTCTTGCAGAAATAACATGTCTTTAAATTTATGCACAAGATGCATATTGTTATAAAAAAATGATAAGCCATGAAAAAATGATAATACCATAAAGATGTTGAGATACAACTTTACTATCAGTATGAAACATTTTACTATTTATATTAAGCAAATTACATATAAAATAAACAGAAGTATTAATTTTTAAGTAATATTCTAATAGATTAAATATTTTTTAACTAACAAAACAGTGAAATTCATAGTAAATAAAATTGCAAAACTATTTTTGAAAAACTAGAAAACATCTCGCAAAATTAAATAAAACTGATATCGTTATTTATTATATTGTACTTAAATATTTATAATAAAGGTTTTAGTTAAATATCTTTACTAGTTTGCTCGGCAGTTAAACTATAAAACTAAACATTTATATATATTTTACAGCTGTTTGTGAAAAATGTGGTGCTATTGGAGTAAAACATGCCTTTTATACGAAGGAGCGTAGATTTTGCAGTAGAGCATGTGCCCGATCTTTAGAAAATGCGGCGCCTACTGCTGACTCAACGTATAGTCCGTCTCATTCGGTGGATCAATCAGTATCTATAAATCAAACGTCTCCTAGTGAAATAAAACAACCGAGTGACGTAAGTTAATCTACATTTTGACTCTATTAGCAGAAAACGTGCGACAAAAACTACTAATTCTTTCGTTCTAATTCTTTAGATGATTGTGAAGGAAGAAGTAGATATCAAGGAATCTATGGAATTGGATAAAGACAAAGTTAAATTAGAACCCGTGTTGCCAGAGGATTTACCAGTTAGAAGAAAGAGAACAGCGGAAATGGCTAACTCCTATGATTGGACATCCCAGCTTGTTGAGCCTGGATTTTGTGCTGCACCAGTTTCTTGTTTCAAACATGTTAGTTTTCATAACATGATACTGGTACTAGTTTCAAGGTTTTTAACGAAATTAATATGTGGAATAACTAAATCCAGCATTGGCTTTGTATAGCTCACTTATTCCATATATTAATTATGTTAGTTTTTCTTCGTATTACATGCAATTTTACAAGCATATATTGCTGCAATTCTATCTGTTTCTACGTGTTTTTCATACTTTTATCTTATGTATTCGACAATTGTATCGTTATATCATCAATTATCTTGTTTTTAGGCTCCTATATCAGAAATATGGGATAATATTACAGTGGGTATGAAAGTAGAAGTAGAAAATACCGATTGTGATGAAGTATGCGAGGCTTTCCCAGATTCGTTTTGGGTCGCGACTGTAGTGCGTATTTGCGGATATAAAGCTTTGTTAAGGTATGAAGGTTTTGGACACAACGCAGACAAAGATTTTTGGGTATCGCTTTGTTCTAATGACATACATCCTGTTGGTTGGTGTGCCACAATTGGAAAACCTCTTATTCCACCTAACAGTACGTAATCAAAATTATTTCTAACAAAATAACGATACGCAATTGAAAAAAAAAAAAATATGTTGAAGAGAAAGATGATTAATCATATTATAAAGCGTATAAGAAAATCTGATGTATTAAATTATTTTTACAGCAATTGCAAACAAGTACAAAGATTGGAAGGATTTTTTAATGAGGCGATTAACAGGTGCAAGAACATTACCGACAAATTTTTACAGTAAAGTAAATGATAGTATGAAATCTCGCTTTCGATGTGGGCTTCATCTGGAAGTAGTAGATAAAAATAGAATCTCGCAAGTAAAAGTGGCAACAATACAAAAAATTGTTGGCAAACGTTTGCACGTGAGATATTACGATTCTTCTCCGGAAGATAACGGATTCTGGTGTCACGAAGATTCACCTCTTATACATCCTGTCGGTTGGGCCAAAAGAGTGGGACAGGCGTTGGATGCATATCCCGAATACTTGGATCGAGTTTCTAAATCAAAATTATCTGAAGATGACGCAACGGAGAATCTTTTTCATGTGCCAAAGAATCATCACATGCATCTTGGATACACATTTAGGGAAGGAATGAAAATGGAAGCCATCGATCCGCTCAATCTTTCAGCTATATGCGCTGCGACAGTTATGCAAGTTTTGAAAGAGGACTACATTATGATACGCATTGACAGTTATGACGAAGACGCGACTGGTGCTGATTGGTTTTGCTATCACTCGTGTTCGCCCTGTATTTTTCCAGTCGGATTCTGTTCTCAGCATGGCTTACCATTAACGCCACCAAAAGGCTATGATCCTACTACATTTACATGGGATGCATATCTAACGGAGACCAATACTATACCAGCTTCTATACAGTTATTTAATCGGGTAAATTTTCTATATAATTTTGAAATTGATGTAATTGGTGATTCTTATTTATTACAATTGCAAAAATAAATTTTTCTCACTTTTTAGGACATTCCTCAACATGGATTTATTGAGGGGATGAGACTCGAAGCTGCTGATTTAATGGATCCTAGATTAGTTTGTGTTGCTACTATCACTAGGGTGATTGGCAGGTTACTACGAGTGCATTTTGACGGTTGGGAAGACGAATACGATCAATGGTTAGATTGTCAAAGTCCAGACATTTACCCCGTTGGGTATTGTGATCTTGTCGATCACAAATTAGAAGGTCCACGTGCACTCATTAAAAACACTAGTCCTACTGGTAAATATTAATTGCACACGTTATTTATGTTATATATTCTTATATTTATGATTATATATTTTTATAGTAAAATCACCAAGAGGCCTTAAACGTAAAGCTAAGAGAAAAATGAAGAAGGGTAGCAAGATGTCTTGCTCCAAAAATATACTACCTCGTCAGAGCGAACGTATTAGTATGGCTCGCGAACGCGAACGAGAATTGGAACCTGCTCAAGGTACGAAAATTGAGAGAGAGCGTGACTTGGAAAGCTTACCGGAACAGAGGAATAGAGAGCCAGAACCAGCGGAAGAGCCAGTTGGACCTGACCAAACCTTGCCTAGTCCTACCACTGGACAAGGTCAAGCGTTGAACGACACACAAAGTGAAGTACAGAACCCTCCACCTAAGGAAAGAACTGCTACATCATATATTAATGTAAGTATTATAATTTTTGCTAATGTAATTTGATATTTTATAGATACATTATTCAGTTTGAATTATCATACGAAACTATTCTAACTTATTTGATTCTAATTTATTTGATTTGTAGGTTACTTCAGCAAATAGTAAATACATACCAAGGCTAGCAGATGGTGTGCAAAAAAGTTCGGAATCTGGTGATTTAGTGCCATCTGAGTGGAATGTCTTTGACGTTGCACAATTTCTTCGTGTTAATGACTGTGCGACATACTGCGATAATTTCAGTAAACGTAAAATAGATGGAAAGACATTGCTAACTCTCACTAAGGACCAAATAATAGACCTAACGGGTTTCAAAGTTGGACCGTCTTTAAAGATATATGATTTAATTCAGCAGTTAAAAATCAAAGTGAATCCAGCTCAGGAAAGATTGAAATTAGGATTGAAAAAAATATCATAACAAAACTAGTGCATAATTAGCGCTATAAATAAGTTCCAGCATTACACAAATTAGACATGGATTTACAGGTAAGGCATATGAATTAATAATGAACATCACCAATATTATTTGCTTATGTCGTTTGTTTCATATTTCATTAATATATCGAAAAATGTTTATATGTAGATTTTTTATATTATATATGCGTAAAATTTAGATGATTTATTATGGGTTAAAGAAGATTATTCCATTCTGGAAAGCAACTTAAAGGTGCGATTTAAGTGTTTAAGCTTTTTTATACTACAGATCAATTAAAAATAAAATTAAGTTCAAATAAAAGGAGCTAAAACAGCCAAAACAAGTTAAGGGGACTAGACAGTCAAATCGCTTAAAAATAAAGATTTTTTTGTGAGTCAGTTGCAAAGAAATGAAAGCAAACCCAGATTTACCCTTTTACCTAATGTTTATTGCTATTATACAGATTGAAAAAAATTGGTATTAGATATATATATATATTTAAAAAATGGCGTGGCAAAACCAAGAGAAAAAAGTTTCGAAAAAAACGCGTTTAAAGTTTTGAAAGATTTCAAAGTATCATTACTAATACACACTTCGAATCCGTGCGCCGCTCGACCTTTTCGGCTGCCGCAAAATCGGTAATTTTGCGAATTTCGACATCTACTAAGCGACATTTTATTCAGGAAGATATAAACGATTGTATAACATAAACCTCTGATAAAATCAATTTCTTTTATGAAAGTGAGCCATCAATTTTGCGAGTCTATAAAGTATCAATGCTTGTCAATATAATTAAAATAATAAAAATTTGTTTATATAATTTTAACTTGTTCTGGCTTTTTTTAGCTCCGTTTTAACTTAATTTTATCAATATGAAAGTCCATTCACATCTTTTTGTAATTAAAATTAAAAATAACTTTTTCAATTATATACTGATTAATTTTTGAATGCAATTGAGCGCATTAGAGATAAGGATAAACAATAAATGCACAATTATAAAATGCTAAACAGAATATGAAATATACAGGGTGAGGAAAAAGTACCAGGACACCTAAATAACTTTTGAACGGTTTGAGATATCGGATGGAAATTTACAAGGTTACAATGGTATCACACAATCTATCACATAATACCAAAAACGCCCATTTTGACACCCCCAGGTGGCGGGGGGGGGGGGGAAGGGACGAAGAAAATTTTAAAAATTTAGGAAGTAGTGGGGTCGGAGTGAGG